CTACTGGACTTGACTCTGAGCTAATTTATTTCAGTTATCAATATAATTGATATAATTGAATATTATATGCAACACATACCCTCATCTCCTTCCTGTCACTCCAGTGAGGGATGGCTGTGAGTCAGGAATAGGATGGAGTAGGGCTCCAGCCTGCGGTATAAGGCATGGGGATGGGGATCAGGAATAGGACTGGTGCTTGGGGACAGGACTAGAATCAGTACAGTGAAAGTGGGAGTCAGGAGTGAGGGCTATGAGTGAGACTCAGGGATGGGTGAGCCTCATAGATGGGGTATGGTTATCTGTACTCATGACTGGATAATAAAGTTTAAATAGTTTGTTAAGGTCTCTTGATACGCATGGACACAAAAAAGTCTCAGATGTTAGAAAAATTCACAGTAGCAAAACCAGTCTAACACCTTGAATCCACTAGGTCCCTGTGACCCTCCCATCCTCCTCCTAGGCTTAGGATACTATTCTCTTTTTCTCTCTTTGCAGATGGACTGTAACAAAGCAGAGAAGTTTGATTTTGTAAGTCCCCTGCTACTCAGTCCCATCTGTTTTTCTCCATGGCACGTTGTCCTTGCCTGCTGCCCCACTTGGAGAGTGCCGCAACCCCTACTAGAAGCCTTATTTCCAGAGTTGTGGGAATCTGCTGGCTTCAGGAAAACCTCCTGAAGTCCCTGCTGGGATAAGGGTTGAGCAGGAGAGAAGGGTATATCAAACTAGTGTGTGGTTATCAGGGCACCCACTCATGTGGCGCCCCCCATGCCCTTTTCTCTCTTTAGGTGTTGCAATACCTGAACAAAATGGCTGGGAATGAATACATGGGTTTCAGCAATGCCACGTAAGAACCTGTTCACAGGACTGGCTGACTGCACTGCAGTGTGTGTGTGAGATGCAGGAGGGGGCAATCAAAGCTTAGAGGAGAAATCCCAGGGGACCCTTGGCTTTCCCACTTCCTCTGAGCCCCTTCACCACATTTGTACTTTGTGCAGAATCTGTTCCATTTCTGTTTAGTACTTAATGAGAGAGGCAGTGTGAGACTTTGTACCTAGGCCCTTTCATGCCAAGCCTCTCAAAGCCAAAACCTCAGCTGTTTCCCCAAACTAGATGACAGGGCGATTGGGGGTTGCCTGTTACCTTACACTTCATAGTGAAGTAATGCCCAGCATTGTGCGGGCTCACAGGTTTCCTCCAGTATTATTGAGAGTTTTTAAAGTGGCTGGTTGAGTTTGACATGTGTGATCTAGTTCTGTCTCCCTCAGGGAAGGTATTTCCCCTTGTCCTCACACCCACCCGTCAAAGGACAAGTACTAAGTTGGATGTTTACTTCAGATTCCAGTCAGAGAAGGAGACAGGGGATCGGAATTATGCCATTGGCTATTACCTGAAGGAAAAGAAGGTACCTGGGAGAGGCTGGGGAGAGTCCTGGGAATCATGCAGCTGGTGGCCAGGCAGCTGGGGCTGGGGCCAGGCTGAGGTCCTGGCAGTATGACGGGCAGCTGATGGCTTGAAGCGAAATGTTCTGTCCTCTTCCTTGCAGTGCTTTCCTAAGGGGGTAGACATGATGGCTGCCCTTGATCTCTACTTCCAGGTAAGTAGACCCTGGCATGCAGCTTAGGCCAAGGGGCAGGACAGACTGCCCTCCCTGCCCTGACCAGGTCATGATCCTCTCCAATGGCTCTGGTGTCCTTCAGAAATACCAGGGCACTGACTGAAAGATCAGAATGCCACAAACATTGCTCTACACTCAAGAGCAGTGTTCAGGTGCACACTGTACCCTCACCTCTGCCTTGTCTCCACAGCTGTGCTCCGTGGAAGTGACCTGTGAATCAGGTAGTGTCATGGCAGCCACCCTGGCCAATGGTGGAATCTGCCCCATCACAGGCGAGAGTGTGCTGAGTGCCGAAGCAGTGCGCAACACCCTCAGCCTCATGCACTCCTGTGGCATGTACGACTTCTCGGGCCAGTTTGCCTTCTACGTGAGTGCCTCTGGCCCCACCATCCCTTCCCCACAAGCCCAGAGTGGAAAGGACACCGAGTCTCTGAGGGTGGAGGGGTGGAAGCCTCTTCCTGCCTCATTATTAACTTCTAGCCAGAGTTCTTAGGGGAGGGTGTCCAGCACACTAACAATGCCACTGCAGCTTCTCAGCTGTCCATCTACACGGCTTGTGCAGCTCCTCTGCATCTGTTTCGATGTCACTTCCAAAGTGAGGCTTTTCTGACCACCGTAACTCAAGTGGACCCCTCTCCCACTTCACTCGCTATCACAGCCCTACTACCTCTGTGTTATAAGCTGTGAATATTTGTCTGTTTACCTGTTTATTGTCCACCCCCTCCCACCAGAATGAAGTTAAATGAGGGACTCTTCTCATTCTAGAGCAGAGTACTCAATAAATTCCTCACTGAAGCAATGAACTTTAGTGGTGGGGGTGGGGGACAGGAGTAAAAGAAGCCAGTTGAGATGGGTGCGGCCTGTGGAATGGACTAACCTGCTCACCCAGACTTGGGGTGCCTCCAGTGCATCCTCAGTTTTCACTTTGTCCTTAAGGTGGGCCTGCCAGCCAAGTCAGCTGTGTCAGGAGCCATCCTCCTGGTGGTACCCAATGTCATGGGAATGATGTGTCTGTCACCTCCATTGGACAAGCTGGGGAACAGTCATAGGGGCATCAGCTTCTGCCAGGTGAGTTATTTTGCATATAATACTTAATATTTTTGAATGAGTAAATAAAGCAATTTTGAGCTCCTACTAAGTGCAGGGAGTTAGGTAAACAATCTCTTTGGCTTTTAGAGATTGGTGTCTCTCTTCAATTTTCACAACTATGACAACCTGAGGCACTGTGCTCGGAAGTTAGACCCACGGCGTGAAGGGGGAGAAGTTCGGGTAAGGAAAACCCCAGGTGGTTTGTAGGAGTATTTTAGAATAGAACATTCCATAGCACTTCAGCAGTACTCTTGGCTAAGCATCCATGGAGAGTCACAGGGTAGAGCTGGGCTTGGGTGAGTTCAGAGTCAATCTCAGATGGATATGATTTATTTTTCAGAACAAGACTGTGGTCAATCTGTTATTTGCTGCCTATAGTGGAGATGTCTCGGCCCTTCGAAGGTACTTCTACTGTGACCAAATAAACAGTAATATACTCCTGGTCAGAGGTCTCATTAGGAGTTAACATAGCAAAATAGTTAAGTGTGTCAGCTTTAGAGTCAGATGGAATGGACACAGACTGCATTTAAATAAGGTTTTTTTTTAAACCATAGTGCCTGCCATATGATAAGAAGTTAATTAATGGTAGCCACTATTATGAATAACCCTGAATATTAAAAGCAGAGTCCTAAGAGGCAGGTAAAAATCCTGCCTCAAATAGATTATGAACATCAAGAAATATGTGCTGGGCCCCTAACCACAGCTAGACAGCTGTGCCTCTGATGGGGAAAAGCAGTCTCATCTGTGTATAGAACATGGATTATGCAGGGTCCATGGATCTTGGCATAAGCTGTTTTACTTTTTCTGGAACCCATCCAGGCTTACCCCACTTCAGCAAAGTCACTAGTGATTCTAGGCTGATCTGGGTGACTTCAGCTGCTTTCCACCATCCTCAGGTTTGCCCTATCAGCCATGGACATGGAACAGAAAGACTATGACTCCCGCACAGCCCTGCATGTGGCTGCAGCTGAAGGTATCTGACAGTTAAATGAGAGGAGAAGCAGATCTTAAAGACACTTTTTTTTTCCTACCAAGAGTACCCCTACTGTATAGGCCCTCCAGGTTACAGGGGCAGCACAAATTTTGTCCAGATGCCCTCCAATCTGCAGGCTATTATTGGGTGCTGCAGGGAGCAACATGGGAAGAGACCTTTCCCCCTCCCCTCTTGGCTCAGACTCCAGCTGCCAAGGGTTGGTACTAATGTTAACACCAAAAGCTTCAGGATCTGTACCCTCTTGTTTTCCTTCTGCCTGGATTCCTAGGACACATCGAAGTTGTTAAATTCCTGATTGAGGCTTGCAAAGTGAACCCTTTTGTCAAGGATAGGTGAGTAAGATTAAGCTAAAAGGGGTGCCCAGGGAGAAGGGAGTGGCACCAGCTTCATCACTGGCCTCTAGCCACCAGTCATGTGTATTAGCAGGACACTCTCACTGTCCTCTTTGTCTGATCATGGTCTTTGTTCTTATCAGGTGGGGCAACATTCCCCTGGATGATGCTGTGCAGTTCAACCACCTGGAAGTGGAAAAACTGCTTCAAGATTACCAGGACTCCTACACACCATCTGAGACTCAGGCCGAGGCAGTGGCTGAGGCCCTGTCCAAAGAGAACCTAGAGAGCATGGTGTAAGCATGCAGTGCTCAGGCCCTGCTCAAGGAAAAGCATAAGTTGGCTCCACACTTACCCCAAAACCACCAGACCTGCTACAGACTTACACTGTGTCAGCGAGGACCAAAACTTAAGCCAGTGCTTTCTGTGAGAGTCAAAACCCCATTCCTTGGCAGACAGGCTGCAGAAAAGTACCTTGGTGGACACTAGAGCTCTCTATGGAGACTGTGGGGCTTCTTTGAGGTACAGCCTATAATGACTTGGCCCACTCAAAACCTTAAAGAAACCATCATGATAGAGACAGATATATATTCTGGTAAGGGGCTCTAGCCACCATGCACATGTGTGTATCCACAGAGGAAAGAGGGCGACTATGCACTTAGCTTTAGTAGTCTCATGAGATCTGCCCCCTCAGCCAGGAACTGCTGCTACTGTGAACAGCAATTTTATAGACAAAGAAAGTATTTTGTGTGCAAATAAACTTTAATTACATAAATTATTATTTCTTCCAAACCCAGTCCTTCTTTCTCCCCTTAGGGCATACAGCCGCATTACTGTCATAAAGGTAGAATAGAGGGAACCAGTCGGAGCCCAAACAATACATATTTCACACATACTCAACCCAAATACTGCTTAGGTTAATTCTCTGCTAAGAGCAGGGCAAGGGTTTGGGTCTGAGCAGGCTAAAAAATGCATTGTCCAAGACCCTAGGCTTCCCTGCTCCCTCTGATAGTTCCAACTATAGCACAAATGAAGATGGAACTTCGCAAGAGTAATGTTTCTAGCACCAACCCATTCAGTATCTTCCTAGGGTCTCTTCCCCTTTGGTCGACGTTGTAACTGGCCCAATTATTTTGACAATTGAGGGGTCAGAGGTGTGCAGATTAAGGCAGATGGACTTGGGTTGGGGAGAGCTCCAGCTGCATAGGGCTGAGAATCTGGCATTGAGGTACTAGGGAAGAAGGGCTCTGTTCTCACTCCCACACAGTACAGCTCTTCCTGAGGGAGCCAGACCCCAGACTCTGCTGTAGAGAAAGGGCCAAGTCATTGACTGCACCACCTCTCTAGCCAGAGGTAGCAATGATTAACTGGAGAGATTTGGTAGAGCCCAAGAACATCCGACTTGGCAAAGGGAAGGAGCAGTATCACAGTGATGAATAAGTTCAGACAAAGCTGAAGGATAACACCCAGGACAGTATAGCAGGAAGATATGGGCATAGGGAGGCAGAGGAACTGAAGGAAGCAAGTCAGGCAAAGTACACTCAGTAGCCCAGGAGATTAGCGGTAATCTGGGGGAGGGAAGAGAGTGGCTGTATGCCTACCCCTCACAGAGTAGGGAGGAGGAAGATGACTTAAGAGACTGCACAAAAGACCCAATGAAAATTGGATTGTGGGAGCTAGAAATTGGGAGAAAATTAAAAGGTTTCAGACACTTGTATCAGGAAGCGGGCCAAGAGCATGACTAGGGACTCCAATGATGGACATACTGGAGGCCCTCTGGCACCTCAAGCCCTGAATGGGTCAGCAGCTTTCCATCCCAAAGGGCAAAGGCAGGCACTGCTGGACCCCGGAAGTCTGTAACGTGTGGACCAAAGCAAGCCTGCTCACATCCACCAGGCTCAGCCTCTGGGCCTCATACTCCAGCAGAAGCCCCACCTTCTCTGGCTGCCGGATGCCCTCAGTAGGGGCTTTCTCGTTGGCCGACATGGTCTGCCACTTGCGCTGGGCATAGGTGAACACCCAGGAACGATCGTCAGCACCGATGCAGCTATCCCGGGACACGTCCACATCTGCCACCCCTATCCGGAACTGCTGGGAGCGCTGCACTGTCACTTCACAGTAGTGTCTGCCGCTGGTGACCGCTGTGTCTGCCAGCACCACTGCCCACCCACTCCTGGAAGCGCTCTGCGTTCACGGCCAGCTTGGTGGGCTCCAGTCCCACCAGGCCGTATTTGACACCTGTGTCATCTCCGAAGAGTGCCAGGCTGCTGTGGGAGGTTTTTTTCTTCCAGTTTGAAACTGACGCCTGCGAGCAAAGCAAAGACACTGGATGGTGACGGTGGCTTGAATCCCAGAACTAGTGATACACACGCAGTCCTACCTGAAGCAGGCAGGTCATGAGATCTCGAGTAGACAGGGAAGAGGCAGAATGTCAAGCGGGCAAGAGAGTAGCGCAAACTCTTTAGTGTGCGCAGCACTCGGACTGGAGAAGCCCCGGGATTTAGAAACCTGACACCGTCCCAGGTTTGGAATTTCAAGACCAACGCCGATGGGGGAGGGGAAACGACCCTAAGGGACTGGAGTTTTCTCCAAGCGGGCTCCGGGAATAACAGACGGAAGCTATTGTGGAGGTAAAACAGTAAGAGGAGAGAATCCTACCCCTTCGGGCTTCCGCGGCGGAAACCCCCCATCGTTTGGCTCCCCAGCGGCACAGGAACACCGCACGCGCAAAGGGCAGCGCCATCTTGCGCCACAGAAGAACGTAGCAGGCGCCCGCCTGCGCCTCGGCCAAGCGGGGCTACCGAGGCGGCGGCGCAGAGGGATGACATATTTCAGCTACCAGCCGCCGGCGCCGCGGCGCAGTTGTTTAGGTTCTGTTCGGTTTCCGTGCGTGTTGGGTGCAGTTTATTCCCATTTTCTGCGGAGACGTCTGCTGCTCACATTTGAACTAAATAGGACCTTTAAATAGATGGTGTATGTCTTTCCAATGGGTTTCAGCCCCGGGCAAGTCACTGTGGATTCAATGAGACCGAGGAATGACAATGGAACGTTCTTTGGGTGAAAGGGATATACCCAACATTATTCCTACCGTGGCAGGTCAGTCACTGGGATCCCGTCCACTCAGAGCGAGTCTGCATGGAGCAAGCTGGTCTCTGACTCTGGGCCTCTCTACCCCTGCAGCCATCTCAAAGTGTCTGTCCTCGGCGCTGCCACTACTCCAATCTCTGCTCTCCTGCAGCCTTGCAGGCATGCCACCAGGCATGCCACCGTGTCGCCCAGAGCACTGGGCGAATCTCGATATACAGTCAATAGCAACGCATTGCCCACACGTATGTAGTGAGCTAGTGGACCAGAGCGAGGTGAGAATCCTGGCCTTAGAAACCTTCACTTTATCCACAGTGTACTAGGATCTGTTACAACAGTCATTGTGTGTGAACCCAGCTCCTCCCACCCCCTCCCGTGGAACTAGGCAATTCACTTCTGAGCCTAAGTGTTCTCACAGAGGGTTAACCCTTTCAACTTTAGAAAAATTAAATGAGAGAATAACCTAGGGCACAACTTGACAATCAGCAACCACTGAGTGGGTGGTAGTTGTCTTAATATTAAATACGAAAATAATTGTAAGTGTTGGTTTTGTATTTTCAGGACCAGGAATGGATGAATTAATAATATTTGGTTTTCCCAGCTTAAACAGAAGTATCAATATTTTGGTTCCGAGTTGGCCAGATGTGAGGTGATCATAGGGAGGGCCCATGTTTAACATTTGATCTGCTTGAGGTGCTCTTTCTCAGCTTTATAAGTTTTGTCCACTTCTCAAGACTGCTGGCCCAGTGTCAACATCCTATCTTCATCCTCCTAGCCCTGAAAAAGGCAATTTTACCCTTTTAAGAGCTGTTTTGTTTCATGGGGCAAAATTATGCTCAGGGACTGAATTTGTCTTTGCCAGCAAATTATTTAACACAGCCTCACTACAGGAATTTCACAATCAACTAGCATACAGGATACATTATCTTTAAGCCAATAAATAGCAACCTCTAAACCAATGATAATCACACTGCGGTAGGGCAGAGACATGGTACAAACATGGTTAATTTTTCCTGCCTATGATGAAAAATGCCAAGATATAAATTAAAAAAACAGTAGGGAATCCATTATAAGGCTAAGATTCCATTTAAAAACCAGGGAGTTAGGAGTTAAGATTCCTAACATACTTTATGGTAGTTAACCAACAACCGACCCAACCCTAAGGCAGGACAAACAGTCATACATGGTATGTCCCCACTGCTTAAGGCTTGGAGAAGGCCAGGATCAATAAATTCCCTGTGTTAAGTTTATCTTAGAGAATATCCAAAGGACTGAGTATGGATAGTAACATAGTGTCTCTCACCGGATATAGACATCATGAGACCACATGTCAAGCTTACATACCTCCCGGCCCTTAATCCCATTCTTGAAATCTTTAGAAGACACAAATCCTAAGCCTTTAAGCATGCCTCCTCTCTGACGTTGCCAGCACTCCCTTTCTTCAAATGTGTACTTTGCTTAAATAAATCCTTTTTTTAAATCATCAAATGTACATCAGTGGTTCAACAGTCCCTCTCCCCACTCCCGCCCACATCCCTCCTTCCCTTTTGGTGACCACTAGTCACTTCTCAGTGTCTATGAGTGAAGGGCCCCCACCAGTAAAATGGCAAACTTCCGGCTTCTCTTCGGGGTCCTCGGTTCCCGCCGGCGCCACCTGAAGCCCAATCACCTCTCGCCCCCCTCCCAATCCCAGCACCTAGCCAACAGCCACCAGCCCCGTAGAAGTAACACCACAATCACCCATGCCCCTTCCTATATAACCCAGCACCTTTCCCTAATAAAGCG